GTAAAGTGTATATAAACTTTTGCACCGAAGAAAATTGAAGCAGTTTGGGAAATGGTGTATATCTCAATAAGTACTGGGGGTTATTTTTAAAATAAAGCTTATTAGAAAGAGCACTTTTTAAACTACTAGGCGAAAAAAAAATTATCTCGATAAAACTTCGACTTCTCGAGATACGGTACATTAAAGAAAATTTTCCAAAGTGAGTAGTTAGTAATACCACTTTTTAGCGGGACAATTAATGACTTTTTGGCGCAACCCAAGGGTTTAGGAGGGTTTTTCTTTTGATCTTAACCGCATTTCCTAAGGGTTTTGGAGGGGTCTAATTAAATTAATTACAGAATACCAATTTCCCGCAAAGTTTTTCCTTTGAGTCTGAGGACAATCCAAGGGATTAGGGGGTTTTCCTTTTGATCCTAAAGGTTTAGGGGGTTTTCCTTTTGATCCTAAGGGTTTAGGGGGTTTCCCTCTTGATCTCCCAAGGGTTTTGGAAGGGTCTAATTATGATTAATTACAGTATACCAGTTTCGCGCAATTTTTCAAAAAGAAGCCCAAGGGTTTAGGAGGGTTTCCCTTTTAAACCTGAAGGTTTAGGGGGTCTCCCAAACATTTATTGTTGATTTTTCTTTTCTTTTATTTTCTTTTCCTTTTACTACCACTAAACTAGGTCACCTTTTTATTGATTCACCAACATAACAACTTATATTATTACTAACATTATTTTCTTTAAAAATTTTTTAAATTTATAAACTTAATTAAAAATTTTTTAGACCAAATATTGACCAACTTTTAAAAAACGAACTTTCAACATCTTTTTCAAATTTTACTAAAGAAGGAAAATTTTTTAAAAAGAGAAGAAACAAAACAAAGAAATTTAATTGAATTTAATATTGTTGAGAATTTAAGTGCTACAGAATTAATTATTTTTAAAAGGTTTTTTTGTTTATTTTTTTGGTGATAGATTTTGAGGGTAACCAATGGAATTTCTGTTAATAGATATGTGGGACAAGATATCGGTGTTTTTTTTAATTTATATACTTAATTAGATATTTTTTAAGGCCAAATATTGACCAATTTTATTTTTTTGGTGATAGATATTTTTACTTTTAAAAAACGAACTTTCAACATCTTTTTCAAATTTTACTAAAGAAGGAAATTTTTTAAGAAGAGAAGAAACAAAACACAGAAATTTAATCGAATTTAATTTTGTTGAGAATTTAAGTGCTACAGAATTAATTAATTTCGAAAGGTTTTTTTGTTTATTTTTTGGTGATAAATATTCGAGGGTACCCAATGGAAGTTCTGTTATTAGATCGGTGGTTTAAGATTTCAGTGGTTTAGGATATTTTCGACACTATCGATCACAGCTTTTTTATCATTAGATCAAGAATTTTGTTTTTTTCCTTTTTTAATGCTCTATCATTTTTGTACCAAGAATAAAAAGAGTAACCATCGCTTCATAAGTTATAGGTGCGGAACTGAACTGAACGTTTAGCTTTTAAACTCTTCCTTCTCAGTTACAAACTATCTATAAAGGTGTTTATTTCTGATTTATTTCTACAACGATCCTTATCTTTTAACTGTTCGTTTTACTCCCCAATTTTAAGATCCCCAACTGAAGATTGTGCTGCCTATTTTTAAAATTGTTGTATTTGAAAAATGTCTGGACGGGCAAATCGTTTAAATATAAAAAAAAGTAATTTCTAAAAATTTAAATTTTAAACACTAAATTTAAAGAAACTTCAAATGAAAATAATAATCAAAAAAAATATTTTTTACGAGAAAGGAAAACGACACCAATTAATACTATTAATACTTGTGTCTGTAAAGATCATAAAAAAACAAAATGCCCAGAAATTCTTCAAAAATTTTGTATAAAGAATAAAGCTGGGGTAAAATTTTAAAATTTCAATAAAATATGTAAAAATTTTTAATCCAAAATTCTCAAAAATTTTTTCAAAATTCAAAATTCTCAAAATTTTCTCTTGCCAAAAATAATGGAAATCCTTCTGTTGTAAAAGGTAGACAATAATTTTCCGGTCATAAAAATGTCATTAGACGCGCGCTCTTGCGATGCGTCGATTGACATTTTTAGGGGGACTGCATACACGCTCGCTTTTTAGCGATGCGTCGCGCAGTCTCCTATTTTTTTATTTAAGAATTGTTTACCTTTTATATAAAATCGTGTAGAATGATTGAAACCGTCGGGGATGGGACCTGTTTATTCGAAATCCATACTTTCCCCCGACCAAAAACGAGTCAAAAAAATTTTTTAAAAACTTAACCCTAATTTTTCCCATTTAATCCAACACTGAATCACTATTTTACAACCATAATCGAACCCGACCCGACTTTTTCTCAAACCGTTCCATCTTTCGTACCAAACATCTACCGTTTATGCTCTATTAATTATCCTCTCTCAAATAATTGCCCCCGCTCTATTAATACTACCTCCAGCGAGAGATTCGGCACAATAATTACCCCTCCTAAAAACAGTTATAACTAGCCTGTTTAAAAAAACTCAAATAATTACCCCCGCTCTATTACTTACACCCTCCTGCAAGAGATTGAAAGAATAATTACCCAGGGTAATTATTAGAGCATATACGTTATGTTTTAAAATTTATTAAAGATTGACGTATTACCAGACGAGGTTAAAAATGGCCAAGCATATTGGACAATTGAAAAAATACTAGACAAGGAATTCGATGAATTAGGGAATCCTATTCGTGTTTTAGTACAATGGCGCGGTTTTGAGGAGTGTGAAGCAGAGTGGGAATCGTCTGGTGTGTTACGTGATTGTCCAGGTTACATATACCATGAAGGTTACTTTGATGGAGTGTATGACACATTAGGACATGTGGGGGGGTTACTTTATAATCAAAAGGTGGCTAAATTAATTAAAAATCTGGAAAAAGCTAATCCTGGTGTCAACATCAAAAAAATTTTTCCAAAACTAACTCAAAAAAGAAACGAGGAAATGACACGTCAAGAAAAACAAAACCTCAGAAGAAAGCTACAAAAGACTATGAAAGCATTAGAAAAAAAAGGATTAAATATAAATGGTATTATTTAAAAAATTTAATTTTCGATTTTAGAATCTATGTGTTTTTATTGTATGGGGGGCATTGATTCGAACCCGCTCAACGAAAATTTTTAAGAAATTTTGACATAGCGAATAATTTTTTCTTCATTTTCTATTTTAAAAACATTCTTGGTTTAGCGGTTAAAAATTTTTTCTCACTATATAAGGGTCCTGGGTTCAATCCGGTTAGAAAAATTTTTTTGAGAATAAAATATTTTTTATATTCTCAAAAATATATTTTTGATATAAAAAATATTTTTCAAAAAATTAAAAAAATATTTTTTTAGTTGAAGAAAAATCTGATGAAATTGATGATTGACAAAATTACAAAAATTAAAAAACCGAACATTACAAGAAAATGGAAAATCTCTTTCTGCTCATTAAAGGAAAAGGAAAATGATTTTAAAAAGTGGCAAACTTTTGTTTTGTAAAAAAGGGAATTTTTTACCATATAACCTGTATTAATTGCCCTCCCTCAAATAAATACCCCGTCTCTATTAATTACACTCTCCACCGGAAGGTCGAAGCAATAATTACCCAGGGTTGTTATTAAAGGATATATGGTATTTTAATTTTTTAAATTGTAGAAAACTTGCAAGTCTGCCGGTTTAAAACTTTTTTTGAGTAACTTAGCTAAAATTTTTCAAAAAATTTTACTTTATTGGGTTAAAAATCTAGGATTTAAAAATTTGTCGACATTTAAATCAAATATATCCTTATTAATTTTAATTATTTTTTCTGACAAAACTTGCAGACAATTTTTTGAAACATATTTTTTTGGCAACCAACACATTCAACTTAAAGATGAATGAGAAAATATTTAATAAATTTAAACTTGTTTAAATATTTTAAAATTTCCATTTTTTTATTGTTGAATAAATTTGTGAAAATACTGTTTATTAAAATGTTAAAATTTTCTAAGACTTAAATACTTTGAGAAAAATTTAGAATTTTTTGAAATCCAAAAAATTAGTCAACCTTAAATTAATTTATTTTTTCAATTATTAAATATACAGTGTGAAAAATTTTCATTTAAGATGACAAAATAAAAATTGTTAGAAAATTTTTCAAAATATTTTTTATTCGTGAAAAATTTTAACCTATTTGAAAAAATTTTTAAAGAATTTAAATTAGTTTATTATTTTTCTAAATACAGAAACAGCTGCACAATTACGTAATTTTCCGCTATCTCTCCCATTTTCCTTTTCCTTCTTTTGCTTTCAAAATGTCAATGTCAAAAAGTATTAAATTAATTTAAAGAGACAGCAAATACGGAAAAAGGCGTTCTTGTTTCATTTTTTTATTTTTTAATGATTATTTTTCTGCAATCTGGAGAGGTTGCAAACAAATTCAATAATATTTTGAATCGAAAATTTGGTAGATTAGATTCCGCATGTTATTGTCCGCTTAATATACTCATTCAGTTGAAAAATTTTAAATTTTTTCATTTTTTTGGTTAAATTTTATTTTTCTTTTATTCCTCGTCCTGACCGTTATTTGCCTTTGACCATTTTTTAAAGGAGAAGAAATGCGGGGATATAACGGAAAATTACTTACAATTAAAGAAGTAATTTGTTATTTCCAATGATTAAAAATTCATAAATTTAAAAAAAAGATGGAATATGAAAATTAAAAAATTGTTTTAATTAGGATCGGTCTAAAAATGTAAAATTTTAAAAAATTCCACAAAAATAAGATCTGTATTTAAGTAAAACTCAAAACAGAATTTTAACCGAAAACTGAGGTACCGATTGTTCCAACCCTATTTATAACTTATAAAAGGACAAATAATAAATGTTATTTTTGAATGTAATTAAAATAGAAAGAACAAAGAAAGATGGTAATTAATTTAAAGAATACTAAAAAATATATACAAGTAAAATTTCATTATAAAATCCCCCCCCCCCCCAAATTTCTATTATTGTAAACAGAAAAAAGGTGTAAATTTTTGACAATAAATACATTTTAAAAAGGCCTTACATTTACATTTTCCTTCCTTACATCTACATACTCCTATAACCCCTCGACACAATTTGAAGGCGCAACGATTACAATAAAATTGGTGCCCACATTGCCCATAAATTGTAGCTGGCCTATCACAACAAAGAAGACATAAGCCGTCCTCAGACAGTTCAAGATGTTCTGGCTCAATAAATAAGGGGCCAAGTCCGTTTAAGTTTAAGAAGCTGTAGGCTGCCCACCCATCTCGTGTAGGATACAGAATATTGTGTGGTGGTGTTGTTGTTGTTGCTGAAGTTGATGGCAGATTGAAAAAATCCTCTGCACTCAGAGAATCTTCAAATTGTTGTTGCTATAAATTAAAATTAGTTAAATATTCAATTTTTTAAATTTAAAATTAATAATAAATTTACCGCAAGTTGAGAAGCTGCAGTGCTGGTTCCGGGTTGATTATCTAGATCAAGATAATCTGCAGCTGGGTTCGGAGCCAAAAAGGAAGGACCTTCTAAAGTTAAAGTTTTTATCAAATAAAAATTTAAATTTCTACCCCAGACAACTTCAACTTCAGAGTTTTGTTGTTGTTGTTGTTGTTGTTGGCGACGTTGTCGTTGAACCCGTTCTAATTCGTCAACATATCGGACAGGGTTTTGAATAACACGTATGTCCTCTAAAATACAATTATAATTATATAATTTGGAGTAAAATCTTACCTCTAACTGTTCTGTCCAGCTCTTGCTCCCGTATCTCGCGGATACGTCGATCTTCAAGACGATGGCGCTGAAATCGTCGAACAGATATGCATATATCACAGTTTCCACATTGATTACAATCTAGAAGTTAAAAAAAATATAATTTTGATTTACTTGCTTACCTATTTCTCCAAGTTCTCCGCGGATTCGAGCAATAACACTTGCAGGAATTGGTTCAATTTGTTGTTGCACATTTCTTTCCGTATTTCGTAATTCTTGTGAGTGTTGTAGGATTGGACGGTCTTCTCGTCTAACCCGTCGAAATTCACATTCAGCACATTCACGGCAATTATTACAATTAATTCGACGTCTTACTCCAGTTCTTGTTGTACGTGGAGTTTCAATTAACGGTTGTTGTAGTTGTTGTGGTTGTTGTTGTTGTGGTTGTTGTTGTGGTTGTTGTTGGGGCTGTTGTTGTGGCTGTTGTTGCGATTGTTGTTGGGGCTGTTGCTGTGGCTGTTGTTGCGGTTGTTGCTGCACCCCCTGTGTAACAGGGAGCATTCGTCGCCGAAATGCTCGGTTGCTGCCTAATCCATTTTCTAAAAAACCTTCAACAGACTCTAGACGAGCAAGTAATTGAAAAACTGTGAACATTAAATAACGATTTTGTTCTTCCAGAGAATTAATTCTTGTTGTATTGTTGTTTGGCATTATAGTATAGAAACCTTTAAACAATTAAATAAAAGTTCAACTTATAAAAAACAAAGGAAAATAAATAAAATTACAAAAATAAATCAATTGAACAGAATTGAACTCAAAGATAAACAAAATATATGTAAAATTAAAATTCAAAAAACTTTCAAGGTAAAAAATAGATCTTAAAGTCAATTAAGTTAAAAAATTTTAAAAATAAAATTTTGAAAAAACGAAAATTACTAAAATTAAAACAATAATACTAAATTTTAAAAGAATTAAATAAAATTTAAAATAAATTAAATAAAATCTAAAGAAAATTTTAATTTAAATTATCTAAATAAAAGTTACAAAAAAGTAATTTCAAAAATAAATCATTATAAAGCCTAATATGGATAAAATTTTTAACTAAAAAGTTAAATCAAATAAAAACAAAATTTAAATGCAAAACTTTGAATTAAAATTAACTATTCAAAAATCTAGGAAATATTTAAATAAACTTGAAAACGCCCATTTGAATAGATCTGCCTATAAAGATAACATTTAAAAATTCAAATAAACACCGAAGATGTATGTTTCCAAGATTAATGTTTAAGTACAAAGGCCGACGAGATTGAAAACTAACCAATTTTGCCTATTACCATAAAAAAGCGGTATTTTTTTACTAAATTTTAAACAAAAAAAGATTAATTGTTTTTTTGAAAACCCTTTTTTGAACGCGCAGCTGGAAACATTGCGCTCTGGAAAAGGAACTGTTAAGTAAAATTATGAGAAATAAAAGAGGGAAGATAAATTAATTAAAAATTAAATTTAAAAAAATAAAGTCTCAAAACAATAATTAAAATATTTTTAAAAGTATTTATCTTTAAAATAATTATAATTAGTTTAAAAATTATTATAATTAGTTTTAAATTATCAAAATAAAAATTATTTTTTGTTTATCTTTCGAGTTGGTGCTAAAATATCAGTCGCATCGCAATTAGTCTTCACACAATTGTTACAAATTTCAAACTTCACTTCAACTCTCATTTGAACGATTTATTTTATTTGTTGAGTAAAACATTCTATCACGGCAGTCTAAAGTTAAATTTGAAAATTAAAATAAAAAAAGATTAAAACCTGGACATAAATAAAACGTGAATAGAAATTTCCCTCGAAATAATTTCCATAATGTTTCACGCGGCAAATTTGAGGGTTTATCAGTTGTATTTTCAATATCTTCCAAAATACTTGGTGGTGGTAAAGGTGGAAGAGGAATATTATTTAAATCATTTGAATTCATTTTATTGATTTTTTATAAATTATAAAAATTTTTCTGAGAAAGGTGAATGAATATTTAAAGATTATTTCTGAGTTTATATAGGAGGCATTCTCTGGGGTATTTAAACTCAAAATTTTTGACTATATATCAATCTCTCTATTCATTTTTAAAAATGAAACTTGTCAGTGATGAATGTGCAAATATCCTCTGCTGTAATGTCAAATCCTTACGAGATCTTCTTAATCATCCTGAAAACCGACTCATTATTTTAAAGACTTTATGTGGTCGCAAAGTTCGAACAACATATGAAGATAGAAACGGAGAAAAAAAATCATTTTTAATTGGAGGTATTACAAAAAAGGGAGCCAATTTTGTGCCAGCTTATGGAAGACTTTCAAAACCTTTTAATATTTCTGTCACAGCACATTTTTATGCAAGACATCGAATTCGACTCATAAATCCTTATCATCATTGTATTATAGAGAAATTTACGAATAAAAAGAAAAGTTTTAAAGAAAACCGTTATTATCCAATGGAGTTACTTGAATTAATTAATGAAGATGAAACAATTACAGACTTTTGTGGAAATTCGAAAAAATCTCAAAGTTCAGATAGTCCTCTGGTTATAATGGAAGATGATGACTCAGATGAACAAACATATCCTCAATTATCACAACCAAAATTCACTTATGATAGTTATGAATGGTGATTTATTTATACATTTAAAATGAACACAATTTAAAATAAATATGATAAAACATTAAAAGTTGAAACCAAAACTTAAAACACAATAATCAGATGGTCGGATTATCCCTTTACCAACAAAGGGCTTATAAATCTTACGACGAGCTTGTGTGGTAACATTTAAATTTTTAATAGAGGGGCAAAGAAAGTTGGGGTAATATATACTTAAAGATTGGATTAAACCGGTGGTTGCATATTTTAAAACCTGGTCCTTAAATGTTTGATATCTTAACCCTTGATTATTAATTACATCAGTATTAAGTGTCATCCCTCTAACTTTTAAAATATATTCATGTTCAGGCGTATTCTTTTTTAAAAGTTTGAGGCCATATTGTTTCGCACCACCTGAGACATATTCAAGAATATTGTGTTTTGGATATTCGTCAGTGAACTGCCCGAGGTGTGGTCCAAGTCCTAAAGGGCACATATTCTCAGGGTGAGCAAAGATAAGAGAATCGGTGTCTAAATTTAAAATTTTATTTTAAATTTAAAAAAAAACTTTAACCTGTATACAACAATGTACACCCTTGCGAGCGGACAACCTTTTGCATTGCTCGAAGCAAGTGGATTCTTGCTGCTGATGTGGTCCATAAAGAAATTACTAAAATTTTAAGTATAATTTACAATAAAAATCAAATACATACCAACATTTGAAGATTCGTGTTCTTCAATCCAATCCTTTTTCTTCGTATAAGAAAGTAACAAAATTTGTTGTGTTAATTCATCAATACTAGTTATTTCAATTGAAGGATCATACATATACTTGCAGAGTTCGGCAGGGTCATCTGTTATTGTGCATTGAGATAGTCCAAAATTCCGTAATGAGAATCTCCCCCCTTTAAATACTAAGTATAATTAGATACAAAAATAAATTACAAAGATTGTTGAGCATAAGTTTGGATTGAGTTCTTTTTCCTTTATTGGGAATCATTTTACTTCGTTCAATTTTTATTCCAAAATTAGTATCGCATTCATGAATAAATTTATCTTCAGCTTCCTTATTGTTTTTAATATTATCATCAAAACCAGAAGAATGTATTTTTTGCGCCATAAATTCGGTAATGTAAGGTTTAAAGAGTTCTGTATCATATTTTGTGTACTCCAAAACACGGAACAATTTTGTAATAATATAACCTTCCTCCAGAGCTACATTAAGTTCAATTGATGTACAAGTACTGACCCAGCCCCGTTGATCATCATTATGATAGCAACGGTAGTCTTCTACAACTCCCCCTTCAGGATACATTTTCCTTTAATATTAAAATTATTTAAATTATTTATTCAAATTTACTCACGCGCATGTTCTACAAAGAGGAAATAATAATCTTTCGTCCTTATCAAGTTTCATTGGTAGAACTGGAATATCAATGTTGTGTGGTGGAATAACAAATACTTTAAGAATGGCCAGTTCAAAAATGTTGTCACGGGGATTAGTCCAATTTACATTTTTATTAAAGATATGAACTTTAGGATGTCCTACAGGATACTTTGTTGTCATATTAATAAAGGGGTAAAGCGATGTTACATCATAGTAAGATATTTTTTCACCAGGTTTTGCTTTATGGAAAAGTTTTAAAGGACCAGTTCTTCCTCCATAAAAACAGCTTCTTATATTAATTGGTCCGTCATCGATGTAGTTATCAAATTTTCTCTTCATTTCGTAATCACGTTTCAACATTTTCATAATCTGACATTCCCAATATACATCAACCCGTTCAATTTGACTCAAAATGAAATCCATTCTTAAAATTTTTTCTAATTAAAATTTCCTTATTTAAATTATACCTCTTCTTATCATGTTCTCGTAAATATCCGGCAGTCTTCCCAGATGGCATAATTGTATTATCATTCGGAAAACAAACAGGACAACCATGCCAAACACATCCGTTGACTTCAATACCATATTGTTCTTCCTCTACCCATCCGTCTAGTTGATAGTTGCCAACACTTAAAATTAAAAATTTTCTATTTAAAATTTTATTAAAATTGAACCTCTTCTCTCCTTCTTCCGAATGAACAGTTCTAATTCTAACGTTGAATTTTTTAGCGTACCAATTGAAAAATTTTAAGGCCAAAAGACTTTGATTTCCTTTCAGTGTATCATATCCTCTCTCAGGAACAAGTGCTAAATGATCTTCTTTAAGGTGGTTTGTACGGAAATGTCTCATGCATGCTGAAGCTATTGTCATTGATTCTCGAAGTACATCTATTCCATCGTGTGCTTTTGTTGAAGATGCTCTCTCACAGACTCCACGTTTTGTTACCTTATTAAATAAAGAATATAAAAAAATTTTTAGCAAAAAATTACATCCATAAATTCTTTTCGAAAAGATATAAGGGCCGACATTAGAATTTCCACATCGTTAGTACAATATGATGCCAATGCTTCATCAAGGAAAAATGGTACATTTCTCTGTTGTTCATACCACTGGTCAAAATGTTTTCTCTTCTCCGGCATCATCCCCTGAGCAAGATAATCTTCTTTTGTTGGAAATATTGCTTTGCCATAATTCTCTGGTCTATTAGCCATGTGTGGAAAGAATGGTTTATCCTCAACTTCAAGATCAAAAGCAGAAACTAAAGAAGCCAGAGGCATAGGCATGATATTAAACGTATCTCGAAAGATTATGTTGTATTTGTTGATCTTCATCTTCATTTCAAACATTTTATTTCCTTTTTTCAACATTTCCGGTTTTATTCCATTCTTTACTATTTCTTTAAGTGTGATCACCATGTCAAATCGTCCACCAAAATGAGAAAAAACAATACTATCACAGTTTTGAGGAAGACCATTTAGTAGCCAATCAACAAATGCAGCAAGAGGTGATTCATTAACAATTTTCTTGTCCACATTAGTGTTGTTGAAAGGTTGTTGAGAAAATGTAATTGTTCTGTGTTGTCCACAAATATTGCAATTATTAGTTTGAAGACTTTGCTGCCATTTTCCATTTATAATACACTCAGGACATGAAACTTTTGCTGAAATAAAATTTGGCTCATGAACAGTTGTTTGCTGCATTGTTTCTAAATCAAAAGCGATAATTCTGTAAGAATCACATTCTTTGGGCTCTAGTGGTTTAATGAAACATCCTCGTTTCGGTTCATGAAAATCCCCGCATGTGTTGCAAAACTTTTCAGAACAAATATGTCCTTCACGACCATTTCTTGTATTTGCAGA